TACAAACAAATAATAATAATGAAATTAGGTCACAAATAAATAATACAAACAAATAATAAAAATGAAATTAGGTCACAAATAAATAATACAAACAAATAATTATAATCAAATTAGGTAACAAACAAATAATTATTATATATTCTTACCTCATCCGCATAATTTGCCCCACTTCGAACATTACTATTAGCTTGTGTCAAGGCATCTCTCCACGTACTAAAGGAATGGCTAAGTATTTTCCAACGACTGGACATCGATTCTTTGGTTCTTTTCCCACCCATTTGCTCAAGAAATTTGGTATGAATTAAACTCCACATTTCTCGCAACTGCATCTCATTACCCGTAAGGGAATTATGAGTAACTTCAACCCAGCTAGTACCTAACGCAACATCTTCAAGAAGCGACCAATTCGTACCTGCATCAGTAGTCATTTTGTGGAAAAAAAATTGGATTGAAACCTTGAGAGAAAGATAGGAATTTGATTGAAAGTAGTTGAGAAAATATGAAATTGTGGTGTAAGGTAGATGGAGAAGAAGTGGTATTTATAGAAAAGTAAAAACAATTTTTTACAATTTTTTTTCAGATTTTTTACAATATTTTTAAATTTTTATTCAAATAATTAATTTCTGCCATTGGATTTTTAAAAATTTGAACTCCAACACTCCAGATTGTGCCACGTGTCACAACGGTAGTTTTTCTTAATTTTAAAACTATTTTTTCTTTTTTTTTTAATTTATAAAGCAGATTAATATCAACCGTTGATCTCAGATCGAACGATTGATATAAAATCAGCTTTTTTTTATTACCGTTGCAAATCGGACGGCTCATATTAAAGAGCCGTCGGGATCGAACGGACCGTGGGAAGCCACGTGGCTTCCCAACGGTCATTGGGTTTTTTGAGGCGCACGGGCCCGTGCCCTGAATTCCGGTCGAGCGATGCGCCCCCACTCGCGAGTGAGGGGCACGAGCCTAACACAAAAAAAAAAAAAAAAAAGGCCGGCCACAGGCCTTGCGTTAGCCTGACGTCACAGGCCTCGGGCAGCAGGCCTGTCAATCCCCCACAGGCCTGGCCCTCGGGCTCCCATCCTCACTCGGATTCTCCAAGGCTAGAGGCCTACCCACCGGCCTTCGGGCCCTTTCCTAGAGCATGTCCCCCGAGCAACCACCATGGGTGAAGTTGCTCTTAAGATTTGATAAATTTGTTATTTTTACTTTTTGCAGTACACGTGCCCCGATGCAACTCACGCTTCGTTGCGCTGCTACAAGTTACCTATGCATATTTGTACAAATTTATTTCATTTTATTTATTTTGGTGTTGATTTTTGTGTAGTGTTTTGTGATTTGATTTGATTGATCAATCCCATAATCTCCGATGTATCGAATTATTCAGGAGAATGTGGTGGGCGTTCCTAGGGCAATTGGGGCCCGATGACTAAATGAAACTGAAAATGTTGGATATACTGAAACGATTTCACTTTGAAGAAGAAGAAACTAATGACATGGATGATGATGATGATGCTGGTATGTTTTTATTTTACTGTTTTAAATGATGAACCATTCATAATGGCACCTGATACAACTGTTTGTCATGTCCTTTGAGTTTACATATATATGGATGCATGAATTGTTCTATATATTTTCAACGACCTAAATTTGACTCAAAAACGGAATCCAAGATCAATATTGTCACCTATTCAACATGTCATATGATCAACGAAAGATTGAGAAATTCCTTGATCAATTGAAAATGCAATTGGCTTATGAAGGTAAAAAATTTTGGAAACCATTTTTTGTGTACGTTACTCTGGAGAAGATCAATATATACTCCACAGGTAATTTCTGAATCTACAACATAGGAGTTATTACATATTGATTGCATACCTTACAATATTACATTATACTTTGTATTCCATTTGTAGAGTTTATATTGTTTCATGGTGTTTGTTTGTAAACCATGCTTAGAAGAAATCCCTTCATTTGAACTGACTTGCATCTTTTTTCTACCATTTAATTTATTTTAATTTTATATTTTTGTTTTTCTTGGTACCAAACTTTTGATGAAACTTACTGTTTTTAAATTGATTCTAGAATGTTAATTATGTTGTTTTCTTAATTTCTACAGTGAGGCTTTGGTAATCTCATTGCATTTAGGTGCTGAAATTTCCAAAAAATAAAAATAAAGCAAACCGATGATGATGTGGTTACAAATTTCCGCCATCTTCTCATTTGACGAAAATGCACCTGCAAAATAATAACACCTAAGATTAAGGCTAAAAACCTCATGTACCCATGATGAATGGGGGGCTTTGGCCGAAGAATCTCCAATGCCAAAGTTAGAATTTTGAAAAGAATGTATATTTGGAGTTTATGGGTAGCAAATGACTTGGCATTTTAGTATGATAAGAGGGGTATTTATAGGACGTGGCCGGGCCTTAGGGTGGAAAATGGTCGGCCATATATGGTGGTATTTGGAGAATAATTGCAAGATATTATGTGAAATAATATATTGCAATTAACATGACAATTATTCCTATATTAAATAGGAAGTTTTGGGAGTTACCTTTTGAATAAAATCAATAAGGGATTGATGAGGAGTGATGAGAGGGATTTGAATAAATATCATATTGATCACCTTTGAATCTTCCTTGATTGAGACGTTATTGTCTGTTACATGCGCGTGAGAATCCTAGTGTGTCTCGAGAGTAATTTTGTCTTCTTATCCAAAATTCCATGTGTCACCTCCTTGATTTTTTGGATTATTTTTGGTTCCACATATGAAATATATAAGGCTATAGAAGAAAAGGGATGTAGTTTTGAAGCAACACTTATGACAAATGGTTAGAGTTGTTTGTTTTTATTTGATTCTTTTTAAGGTGTTGCTAACCATACTTTTAGAGTATTAGTGTTAGGTACGTTTTAAATGATTTCATTTGCTTGTCTTTACATTAATTGTTTTGGACTTCTACCTTCATTGTATTATTGAAAGTTTGATTACTAAATTACTTTGTAGACAGAGTTCACAAGAGCCAAGAGAATACTGAGCAAAGACTTATGACATGCATAGTAACTTAAAATAGTCTTACTATTATTTTCTTTTGTTTCTCTTCAATGTTTTGTTGTATGTATTGAACAATTCTTTTGTGTTAGTAATTTGTTCTAGATGCATGTACATTTTGTTACTTAGAGAACATAATGTAAGACAAATGGGTGTCTGGAAGGATTATGTGATTACTAATTTACTATTACATTGGTTTACACAACGATTTCAAGACACTAGCTACTATGCCTTGCGTTAGTTGTTTTTCGTCCCTAAAAATGTCTTGCATTAGTTGTTTTTCATTGTAATTGTTGAAATTGCTCACTGAATGAATTGAAAACTACCAGAAGACATCTTCAAGGGTGTGTAGCGATTGTGATTGAAAAAGGCCTCTCACACGCACGTGAGTGTGTGTGGAGAGGCTAGTCATTAAATAAAGTTATTAGATGTTTTTTTTTGTTAAAATTTAAAGTTTTGAAGTTCTTTTCATTAGTTTTCCTTAAAAATTAATCATGAAGAAAACTTATCCATTTTGATCATCTCCAAAATGGTGTCGGTCTTTGCGTAGCCTGGTGGCTTTGTGTTCACATAAGATCCACTGGGTCAACAATTCAATCGGCACCAAAAGAAAGATCATCTCTAAAGTGGTAGGATTAGAAGGAATGAGTTTTCATAATGTCTAATTCTCTTATGATCTCCTCCAAATGTGAAGTCATTCACTAATGCCTTTAATTTGTCTTGAAATTAGTGTAGATTCATTTCAAATCCTAATCCTATCTTACTTACTAAAGGATTTGGATCCTCTCCTAAGCAGGGGGTCCGAATTCTCTTGATCCAATAACAAGGGCAATTGGATTTTGATCCAACATCTACAAACAGGAGGTCTCTCTAAAAGTTATAATAATTGTAACTGTTTGATCAAAATCCAATGGTCTGTGTTATTGAGTCAAAATGATTTGAACCCCTTGCCCAAGAAAGGATCCAAATCCCTTACTAAATGACGGATTTGGATCCTCTCCTGAGCTAATGGAGAGAATCCTCCTGACCAAGTGTTATGGGCCGTTGGATGAAAATCCAACGGCTACAAACAAGTGGATCATTTTAAAGTTATAATAATTATAGCCGTTTGATGAAAATCCCTAAATGACCACACTATGGTGAAACGTTATAAATATGACGTCTTAAATTCAACTGCCACCAATGATGATTTTGACATCGATAACTTATTGAGTGACAACTCAACACCCCACTTCCAATATCTTAATCAGAAAAATATGAAGTACAGTAAGGGGAATCAAACCCGCCGGGAAAAAGACATGCTATCACATGTCATAATTGCATGAAGTACAGTAAGGGGAATCAAACCCGCCGGGAAAAAGACATGCTATCACATGTCATAATTGCTTTGCTCACCACATGGTTGGTGGAAACATTACGTTGTGGGGATGACGCAGCCCAATTATTCTGCTAACCGCACCCAATAGCCGAATTGACCATTCTACCACTGCTGTCCAACACAGATTTCGACCCTGCGAGTCAAAATATGCAGAGTTCCCAATGGGTATTTTTGTCAATGCGTGTGTTCCTTCCTCTCTCCGTCGGAGGTAGATTCTCTGCCCTCCAATTTCTCGTGCCCTCACGTGCTCTTCTGTTTGTATGGTCACGGTTAAGCCACGCGGAAAGTGGGAGGGCAAAGAATCTGCCTCCCTCTCCGCCAACGACTTCTACAGTCTTCGTCAATAATATAAACAGTCACGCTTTTCATGTCCTTATCTTTCCCTTCTCTCTAACGTCACAAACAAGTTGAGAAAATATGCAATGCAGAAGAAAACAAAGTGATTACATCTATATATATCTATACACACACACATACACGCATATACATACAAACATAATACATATATATGTGTGTGTATACCAGACGCACTCACTCACACAGAGCAAGGGGGAGTTAAGAGAGAGAAGCATGGAAGGAGGAGGAAAGAAGAGGAAGATGGAGGATGAAGAGGAGGATGAAGAGGAGAAGATTGAGAAATTTTATGCGTTGATTAGAAGTACGAGGGAGGTGCGCCAGCTTCTTAGGGGCAATTCAAATGGGTCGAAAGAGAAGAAATATGAGAAGAAGGAAGACGACAAGGCTGCCGGGGGTTGGAACCCGACATTTCAACCGGAAGACTTCCTTGAGGATGTTAAGATTTCTGGTCATCATGGAGGAGGTTCCTCTAAAGCAAAACAAGAGGAAGATAAGAAAGAGGAAGATAAAGAAAGTAATGGTTTAAACCTAAACCTTTCTTTGTAGGGCATGGAGCTTGTAGTTTAGTTTCAGAACATTCACCCTTGCGCCTGAGGTCCCAAGTTTGATTTTCCTTCCTCCTACAACATTGCTTGTACCGGAAAAATTAAAAATAAAAAAGGCTTCTTTGTAGGCACATTGTTCAATTTTCTTTCTGGGAAATTGGGTGGTAGGTCGAATGAACTAACGGTGCAGTGTATTTTCTTCCATGTGGCTCAGATTGGCCTAAGCTTTTGTAAGTTACTAAGTTGTTTCCTCAATGTCAATGCTATGGCCTCTCATACAGTGTATTTTCTTTTGGCGTCCTTCTCCCATTACAAAGTTCATGATTTTTTTCGTAAAGTTTTAGGGTTTGACATGTTTTTCTCTAAGATGTACTGTTATCAATAGCGTCTACGTGAAAAACCGAAAGAAAATATGAAATTACATCTTACAACTTAGGAGAGAATCCAATTATTCAAGTAGAAAATATCTTCGTGGATCATAAACTATCACGAGTGGTAACCACTACTTCTAGCATGAAATAAAGAAGTAAAGAGATTAAAGAGTGATGTAATAGCATGACATCAGCAAACTAAACCAACCAACCATGTATGACTCATTCAACTTTTGAAAATGCAAAATTCTAGAGTGTTCCGTAGTATGAAATACTTGTTGTTTTAACCGTTAGATCTTGATTTTTGTATTTTTAAACAAAGATCACGGGTTAAAACAATCAGATTATCTCATACTCAAGAGTACCTTAGAAAATCACTTTGAAAATGAGCAAACTTAGTTGATTCACATCAAACCAACACTTGACCCACATTGAAAGACATCACAACCTACAATAGGTCCCACTTAAATGATAGATCTTTTCTGTATATAAACAAAGAAAATTACTCTAGAACGAAAGCTTTGTGCAACTTATTTTTCACTTCACTCATATAAGATGGACTCTACGATCAAGTGAGTTCAAAAACAGTTATACTCTAAGCCAAGATCAGAGGAGCAAAGCGAAAATCGACAGGTATTGTATTTCGACTACATCCTTATTTTCATGCACTAACAATAAAAAGGATGAATTTGAAACAAGCTCACACACAAAAGGAGAAAAAGAGAAGCCTAGTTTAGCTCAATTCAAGTGAAGATCTTTTAGCATGACCAATTACAACTCTGAAACCAGTTCGAACTTCTTTGCTGTTTGGGCACAAGTTTTGGTTTTACTACTTTCTTCTTCAGTGTAAAGGGAAATACCTTTTTTGTTCCTTAACATCTTAGAGGATTTGTTTGAAATAATAAACTGACAGACACCAGGATGCAGTGCAAAATGCTTTTGTTTGAACACAATATGTTTTCGGCAACAACTGATGTGCAAACAATCAATAACAGGTTTAACAGTTGAAGAGAAATAAAAAAGTTTACAAAAAATTGTCAATATCAGTGATATTGCCCTTCAAATATTTTACTAGTATAATTTATTTACACCAACATCCCAACCATTCAATTGGCGGGAAACCTCTTGGACAAACTCAACCATGCATGCAAAAGTTCACTCATGCACAGACACACACTCGCTAACATGGTAGTTGATAGCAGGGCATAGAGGAAACCATGTGTTTGATCCCAAAGAGATCACCCTAAGTTAGGAACGGGGGAAATTTAAAAGTTTTTAAAAAATGACCTTTCTTAATGAACTTCAGGGCAACAAAAGCTCTATGTTCGCCTTCCTCGGCTGAGCTCACTGTGTATTATTCATGTCAAGTTCCAGCCCTGAATCATAAGGTGAACAGCGAATGTGGCACAAAATATTAGCCGAGTAACAGAACAAATAGTATAAAAAGAGTAAAAAATAAAATAAAATCAATATTATGAACTTAGATTGAATATAACATACCTGCACACGAGAAAATTTTCACCCCATGCCATTTTCACACAAGCATAAGTACTTCAAAACCGTTTCAATTCCAGAACCATCATTGTAGGCCTTACACTTTGAAGTTTACAAGCTTTTATGGATTGCCAGTGCATACAAGTTATCGTATTTGGAAGTTCTCCCCATGTACCAACAAAGTTATAGCAAGTTCTCCTCATGGTTCTATATATAGGTGTCATTATCTGGAAGTATCAATTTCTGTCCTGGTCAATTAACTCCCGTAGGCACAATTCCTGTCTCAAAACCAGACTGTCCCAGGATGTACCCCATTAAATTTGGAATCACCAATAGTCTCCGCAAGAACACACACCATCCTTAAAATGATGAAATCTGTTTGCATCCCTCAAAACAATCTCTCTCTGCGTAACTTTAGCTATTAATTTAATTGCAGAATGGCAATCCCCACAAACCCTAAGGTTCTTCATCAAACGAATTGGCATCCCTTTTGGTACCTTCAGGAGCCCATATGCTATGGCCAATTCTCACTATGATAACCAAGCTGTGCGCCTTCTCTTCTTCTTCTACATCATGCAATACAAAGCTCCCATCAGGGCAGTAACCAGTTTCTCTTAATAATACACCCAGTCTCTCTAACTCTCTCATGATCATCTCATGTTTTGGGTGACCCGTGCTCTCTCCCCCAGTAAACATATGCACATTTTTCTCCACCACAATCCAGCTACAACCAGGTAACTTGCGAAGACTTCTGGCTCTCATGTTTTCCCTCACCTCTACAACATCATACCATCTACCCTGGGTTGCATAAATATTTGATAGTGTTGATGCACAAAACCGGAGGGGTCTTGGAACAACGTAAATCCGACCGTGAATCTACAAGAAAGTAAAGAACACAAGATGTATCGTGGTTCACCCCAATGTTTAGGCTACGTCCACACTGATATTGTATTTCTCTGTTTGTGAGAGGATGAGAGGGTGAGAGCCTCTGAGGGTGAGAGTGAGGCTTTCCATGGCCTAAGAATTGGCTCTTCCCAATAAGGAGAGTGAGGGGTCCTTTTATAGAATAAGGGCTCCTCACTTTTACATATTTGCCATTTCATTTATTACATAATTACATTTGAGTCATTCGAGTATTTATACGAGGTCTAAATACGAATGCCCTAAGTATGGTACAAATAGTATTCCCCCAAGTCTTCAATCAAAAGAGTCTTTTGGCTGGAGACTTGAAATTCAGTCCATGTGTGGGCCGAAGTAACTAGATGTCGTCTTGAACTGATATTTGATATGAGGCGGTGCTCAAAGTGAAATGATGCTCAACTAGAAGTAGCACATGTTGCGAGGCTGCTCGGCTTGTGGCTTATGTTGCCTTGGTTGGTTCGGCCTATGGCGTTGAAGGTGAGGGAGTCCTTTTTATAGAATGAGAGCTCACTCCTCAATACATAAATGATGGACTAGAGTCGATACTCGCGATGAGGCGGTTGCTCAGTAGGTAGCGATGCTATCTAATGATGGTGAGGGAGTCCCTTTTATAGAATAAGGGCTCGCTCCTCAATACATAAGTGATGGGCTAAGTCCCCCAAGTATTTTTCATGAGGCCCAGTTGAGGCCCAATATATGGTACATAATGTAGTCCCCCAAGTCTTCGGTCAATAAAGTCTGTTGGCTGGAGACTTCAAATTGAATCCATGTATGGGCCGAAGTGGCGGTTGTTCGGAGGCGGTATTTGTATACCCTACACTGAAGCTTTGTAGGTGAAGCTTTGCAAGTGAAGCTTTTGAAGTTGGAGCTTTCAAAGTTGGAGCTCTGTAAATGAAGCTTTCGAAGCTGATTGACATGAGTAATACTCATGAATGTTTATGTTGATTGACAGAAGTGATGCTTATGAATGTTGACATGAGTGATGCTCATGAATGTTGACATGAATGATGGTTATGAATGTTTATGTATGATTGACATGAGTGATGCTCATGAATGTTTATGTATGATTGACATGAGTGATGCTCATGTATAATTTTGGAGTACTGGACGTACTTTTGATCACCTGGTTGGTGATAATAGCGGCAGGCTGCCGAATAATTTTGAAGTACTGGGTGTACTTTTGATCACCTGGTTGGTGGTAATAGCAGCAGGCTGCCGAATAATTTTTTGTAGTACTGGGCGTACTTTTGATTACCTGGTTGGTGGTAATAGCGGCAGGTTGCCGAATAATTTTTTGTAATACTGGGCGTATTTTTGATCACCTGGTTGGTGGTAATAGCGGCAGGCTGCCAAATAATTTTTTGTAGTATTGGACGTACTTTTGATCACCTGGTTGGTGATAATAGAGGGCCTGGCTCTTTTAGGCATATGGGTCTTCGCCCTCCACATAACATTCCAGCCTATTATTTTGGGCTTGCCCTTTTTTTATTACCCTCTGATAGCGTTATACAAATATCTGCAAGAGATAAGAAAAATAAATTACATCATTCAAAACAAAGGTTTCGACACAAAAGCTTCGACAGTTGCAGATCGTTGGTGCGTACTGCACTTATTGCGTACTGGGTTGTTGCAGATCTTTTTCCATGTGCGTATTGCGCCTGCTGAACGTTTTACCTTTTCCTTTCTCTTTATTTTTCTTTCTTTTGGCAGATGACAGACAAGGGAATAATGCCATTTCCTTTTTTTTTTTGCTTTTGCTTTTGCTTTCGTTTTCTGCTTTGCTTTTGCTTTCGTTTTTCTCAGCTCACCTTTGCACCTTTGCTGCTTTTGTTTTTTGGTTTTTGGATCTTGAGGTTTGGAAAAATATGAACCAGAGTTACCGGTTTCCAAACCTAAGCAGGTTGTGGAGTGCCCATCGAAGAGCTGTGCTTGATGCATCCACCAAATGCGGCACGAATCCTGACCATATGATCTTCACCTTGTTGGGCTTCTCCAGAGACAAGTTCACCAGCGAAGTGAGGGCGTTTTGCTGTACGGTGTTGTATCGCGAGATAACTCACCGATTCGACGGCGGCGATTCTCCCTTTTTTAGTCGGAGCAAAAACTATCGTTAACATTCTGTATAATGAGACACTGCAACCACACAAATTTGCAACTCTGCCACTGCCATGGTCGACTTCCCCAAATCTCTCTCTCCGAAGCGAGTCCTGAAGCTCCTCAAAGCCGAGAAGAATCCTCACACTGCATTCGCACCGCTCGACTTAGTGAGGCTCTCCTGATTTACCCCATCGAAAAATCTGGCCGTAGGACCATGATCTGACGAGTCTTCAGCTGGAGCTCGTTGTCGCCCTAGTATCGTCGGGTGGCGTCGATGCCGTGCTCGGCGTAGATGACTTCCCAGACCACAAGACCACATGTACTTGTTCCTGCAATCACATCAAAATAGTCGACGATTCTTGCATCTTCCTTCTCTAATTTTTATGTCGGCAAGATCTAATCTGTGGAAGGCACTTTAGCCAAATCGGGCTGTACTACCTCTGCCACCTCGTCGTCGAGTGGAAGCGGGAAGGTCTGCACTTGTTGTGCTGTCGCCAGGAAGATGTCGTTTTGGGCTCCGATTCGGGGGTCGTAAACGCATCACACTTGAACGGTAGGACGGAAGGGAAGTCGACGGCAGCAAGTTGTCTCCGAAAATCGATGATCTCTTCCTGCACACTATGGCAGACATGTTTTGCCTTCTCTCACACTCTCTCTTCTTCCTCTGCATTCTCCCCCACTATCGTCTTCATTCTCATGCAGCGTACCGTTTCGATCTGGAATGGAACCCCCTTCAATAACAACCCCTAATTTCCCTAAATTTGGCAACAATTACAATTTCTAGGTTATGTGGGGTTTGTTTTAGTAGATCTGAAAATGCTTGAGACAAGTCAAAGAATATATGCTCAAAATTTTTTGGGTTTCTTTTTGTTTTCGTAGCTGTTGGATGGAAGAAGAAGATCACGAAAAATAAGAATAATGAGAAGAGTTGTAAGGCAGCCATTTGATAGTACTGAAAGTTGTTTGCAGATTCACGGCGGAGGTGAAAATATGAAAGAGAACCGACATAGTTTTTCGTGTTGATTCCCACAGACGGCGCCAAATGTACTGTTTGTACCATACTTAGGGCCTCCGTATTTAGACCTCGTATAAATACTCGGGGGACTCAAATGTAATTATGTAATAAATGAAGGGGCAAATATGTAATAAGTGAGGAGCCCTTATTCTATAAAAGGACCCCTCACTCTCCTCATTGGGAGGGGCCAATTCTTAGGCCATGGGAAGCCTCACTCTCACCCTCAGATGCTCACACCCTCTCATCCTCTCACTAACAGAGAAATACAATATCAGTGTGGACGTAGCCTAAACATTAGGGTGAATCACGATACATCTTGTGTTCTTTACTTTCTTACAGATTCACGGTCGGATTTACATTGTTCCAAGACCCCTTCGGTTTTGTGCATTAACAGATAGCAAGACGTAAGGCCTTGCTTTATAGGGCTCAAGCTCTGTAAGTTTCTTTGCTGCAACTTCCGCCAAGTCCATTTTCATATGCTGTCTACATGCACCTAATACGGCACCCCAAACAATCGCATTTGCCTCTACTGGCATCCTATTAATTAAACCCATTACCTCATTTACTTGTCCTACTCGACCAAGCAGATCAACCATACATGCAAAATGTGCAGTTCCTGGCTCCACCTGGTAATTTGATTTCATTGTTTCAAAAATCTCAAGACCTTTTTCTACATTTCCACTGTAGCTACAGGCTAAAAGAACTCCAACAAAGGTGATTTCATCTGCTGCTATGCTCAAAGAGCACATCTCATCAAACAGTTGTAGAGCTTTACCTCCTAAACCATGTTGGGCATAACTAGTGATCATTGAGTTCCACATAACAATATCCTTTGCAGAAAACCTGTCAAACACCTGTTTTGCCTTCACAAGGTCGCCACATTTAACAAACATTGTCATCAATACTGAAGCAACATATACATCAAGATCAAACTGGTTCCTCACCAACTGGGCATGAATCTGTCTACCATAATCAAGATTCACCAAGCTGCCACAAACAGATAGAACACTTAAAGGGAAATTCGGCCTTATATCTTCTCTTTGCATCAAAGCAAACAAGTCAAGGGCTTCCAAATCAAAACCTTTTAGTTTGTAAACTTTAATCATTGCACTCCATGTCCGATCATCCCTATCTCTCATATTATCAAAAACTTCCCTTACTTTAGCTACCTCTCCATTTTGACCGTAACCACGTATCATGGCATTACAAGTAACAACTGACTTAATAGGCATTGCTTGAAAAAGCTCTGAAGCCTTTATGATCTGTCCACACTGAGTGTAATCTATCAGCATTGTTGTCCAAGACAACTCATTTTTCTTTGGCATCACTTCAAAAAGCTTTCTAGCAATATCCACTTGTTGCTTATGCACATAGAAGGCTAAGAAGGAATGTTGTAAAGCCTTATACAAGGACATGACCGATGAAAATGGTGAAAGGTATAGAAGAGCGAAGCAAGAGGGGAAGAAAGCTGTGAGATAAGCTAAGTTAGCGGCTTATGACGATATGTATAAGCGACTAGATACCAAAGAATGAAAGTTGGATATCTATAAACTACCTAGAGCAAGGGAAAAGAAGACAATGGACCTAAACCAAGTGAGGTGCATCAAGGATAAGGATGGAAAGGTTCTTGCTACAGAGAACGCGGTCAAAGACAGATGGAAAGGTTATTTTCATAATCTTTTCAATGAAGGACATGAAAGGAGTACTTGTTTAGGGGAGTTGAGTAACTCAGAAGAGTGTAGAAACTACTCATTTTATCGTCGAATCAGGAAGGAAGAAGTGGTTGTAGGTTTGAAGAAGATGAAGCATAGAAAAGCAGTGGGCCCAGACGATATACCGATCGAAGTGTTGGAAAGTCTTGGGAGAGACAGGTATGCATGGCTCACTGACCTTTTCAATAGGATTTTGAAAACGAAGAAGATGCCAAATGAGTGGCGAAAGAGCACTTTGGTGCCTATCTACAAGAATAAGGGCGACGTACAAAATTGCATGAACTATAGGGGTATTAAGCTAATGAGTCATACAATGAAGCTCTGGGAGAGAGTCATTGAGTATAGATTGAGGCAAGAGACACGGGTTTCGGACAACCAATTCGGGTTCATGCCAGGGCGCTCAACCATGGAGGCAATCTATCTCTTACGAAGACTGATGGAAAGATATAGAGATGGGAATAAGGATTTACACATGGTCTTTATAGATTTGGAAAAAGCGTATGATAGGGTCCCAAGAGACATTCTTTGAAGGATTTTAGAGAAGAAAGGAGTACGAGTAGCATATATCCAAGCTATAAAGGATATGTATGAGGGAGCAAAGACTGCCGTAAGAACTCATGAAGGACAAACCGAAAGCTTCCCCATAACTGTAGGATTAAATCAAGGCTCATCCTTAAGTCCTTACCTTTTTGCATTGGTAATGGATGAGTTAACAGGACATATTCAAGATCATATTCCTTGGTGTATGCTTTTCGCAGACGATATAGTGTTGATAGATGAAACTCAGGAAGGGGTAAATGCGAAGCTTAACCTTTGGAAAGAAATGTTGGAATCTAAAGGTCTTTGCCTAAGCCAATGAAAGACAAAATATATGGAGTGCAAGTTTAGTGCAAATGGAGGCCAAAATGAGTTAGGGGTGAGGATCGGAGATCAGAAAATACCAAAGAGCGATCGTTTTTGCTACTTAGAATCTATCTTGCAAAAGAACGGAGAATTAGATGGAGATCTCAACCATAGAATACAAGCTGGATGGATGAAGTGGAAGAGTGCATCCGGCGTGTTGTGTAACCGTCGTATGCCACTGAAGCTCAAGGGAAAATTTTATAGGATGGCAATAAGGCCGGCGATGCTGTATGGCACAAAATGTTGGGCGGTGAAGCATCAACACGTACACAAAATAGGTGTAGCGGAGATGAGGATGCTTCATTGGATGTGTGGGCACACGAGAAAGGATAAGATTAGGAATGAGGATATCCGAGGTAAAGTAGGAGTAGCTGAAATTGTAGGAAAGCTGAGAAAAAATCGGTTACGGTGGTTTGGACATGTGTAAAAAATGCCTACTGATGCTCCGGTTAGAAGATGTGACTACGGGACAGAGGTTCAGGGTCGAAGGGGTAGAGGAAGACCTAGGAAAACTTTGGAAGAGACTCTAAAAAAAGACTTAGAGTACTTAGATCTAACGGAGGACATGACACAGGATCGAGCACAATGACATTCTAAGATTCATATAGCCGACCCTACTCAGTGAAGAAGGCTTTGGTGTATTTAACACAATACGTTGAAATGAAGCAAAGCTTATTGATTGATATCTCCGATAAGTTACAAATATGTACATATACATGAGTCAAAATAAACAAACAAAAGGGAGCCTTCACAAAGGTTGCTTAGGAGAAGTCTCAGCAGTCGGTAGAGCCCCAGAAAGAGAAGGCACCGGAGGGGGATCATTCGGAGCCTCAGTACTGGACAGAACCCTAGAAGGAGGAGGCATCGGAGGTTGATCATTTGGAGCTTCATTACGCGGTACAGCCCCAAAAGACGAAGGCAATAAATGCCTTTGGAACAAACCCACAAACCGCTGATGATCAAGTAAAACCTGACCATCAAATTCCTTCATCTGGTCAAGCTTCCTCTTCATGTTTGTAGCATAGTCATGTGCGAGCTGGTGCAACTGTTTATTCTCATGCTTGAGCCCTCTAATCTCCTGTTTGAGACTCATCACTTCAGCCACCAATGATTCAACTTGGCGAGTTCGACCAAATAGGCGTTGGGCCATATTAGACATAGAACCTGCACACTGAACACTCAGAGCCAGAGAATCCTTAACAGCCAACTCATCAGACCGTTTAGAAAGTAGTATGTTATCTTTTGGAGTGAGAAGGTTCCTGGCCACCACCGCAGCGGTCATATCATTCTTCATCACGGAATCCCCAATGGTAAGAGGACCAGTAGGGGATAAGAAGGATGGGCGCCATATGTTGTCTGGAGAAGGCGTGGCTGCCTCTTCAACAAGGTTCAAGTCAAAACGACGGTCGGAGGGGCCAGACATTTTCAAAGGTGTTGAAGAGAGAAGAGGTCGGACAAATCAAGATCTTAGAAGTGCAAGAAGGGAGCTTCTACTGGTGGAGATTCAAGTGTGCTTTGGAACTTAATGCCAGCCTCTATAAAAATCTACACTCGACGGAGCTTCAGAAATCGAAGAGGCGTCTGCCCAGAAATCGAAGAGGCGTTTCCTTTCTCAAAAGCTGAGCTGCTCAGAGACCATGAGGGCTGATCTCAGAAATCGAAGAGGCGTTTGCTTTCTCAAAAGCTGGGCTGCTCAAAGACCACGAAGGTGAAGGAAAAATTTTGTCCTAGCCAAGAACAAGTATGAACATTTGAATACAAAGGCAAGCTATTAACACTTTAAAGTAGACATGCATTCAAAAACAATTCATAAAACCCATGACTTTCAAAGCCTAGTATATGGTGAACCAATAAACTCTTTAACAACATTAAAGAGAAGTAAAGATTTAGAGTTTCTTTACCCTTGAAGCTCATCCTTGTTTACACAAGGGATTCACCCAAGTGGAGGGCCTTCAAGTCACCTCCAAGCTCCTTGAATCCTCCTTGTGTTTTCCTCCCTTTAGTGCTCCTTTGAAGATTTGAGGAAATGAGGATATGTTCTCCAAAACACCAAAAGTTTGATGTCTCTAAGTCTCTTCACCAAGTATGTATCTTGTGAAGATGATATGGATGACTTAGGGAAGAAGAGATTGCTAGATGTCCCTTCCCTTAGTGGCCGGCCTCTTAGAAGAAAATGGAGAGAAAATGTTTCACCCAATTTCAACTAGAAAACCCTTAAAGAAATAAAGCTATAAAGTTGAATTTATACTTCATTACAAGTGAGTGGCAAACTTGTAATTAATCCAAGTTTGCCCATCCACCCTAATGGCCGGCCTCTTTGATGTTATTGGGCTATTTGCCCATTTTGTTTTAGTTGTCATACAACTTAAACATAATGGGCATTTTGGACCAAAACGCTTTTGGGCCCCGAAACCCAAAACCAACATATAAGCCCAACACGAACCTTTCGTAAAATTAATTAACTAATTAATTAATCTTGACCATTCTTCAATTAAACCATTTAATTGCTTATCCATTTCATTTGATTTCTTCACATACATCCTTACTCGGTGTACGATCCATTAGGTTCCAATTAACGAGGCAGTGGGCGATTGTTACTCTTAACGATCAATTGTGAATTGAAACCACATTTCAATTCTCCCTTTATTGATTAGTGTTTGCTAACCATTAGGGCTTCCACAAACCATGAGTGACGCCTAGCAGAATATCATGGTCACCCAAGCTAAGTAGAATTGGTTGGAGAACCTATCCAGTTACAACTACAATGCAATACGATCATTCTCTAATACAATACTCTTAATCACATTGTTTAAGTGATAGTTTGTTTCATGTCTACTATCCAATGTGATACTTTCCTATATGATTCCCTTGAATATGATTTGGAACAAACTTCCTAAGTCATATTCATTGCTTTGGCCAAAGACTTTAGAATCATATCTTAGAGTATTCTCATTCCACCATGGAAGGTTAGAGATCCCTTGTTGTGCATTCATATGTCTACATGACTAGATAGCTTGACCCCAACAATGCCGTGGACACTCCGATGGAATGCCGTTTGACATGATCAAAGATCAAGGACCTAACCATTAGACATCTATGATGCCTCAGGTCAAAGGACTACTTTGCATATTGCAACTTTAGAGTTCATACATGACATGTATGTTCGAACTCTCTTTTGATCGTAGTTCAGTGTACTCGATTACTCTTTCGAGCACCTATGTGTTTGTCTTAGTGTCCAACACCAAATGACTTGAGACTAGTCATACTCACGCTTGAGTCAACATAACACATACTAACCTTAGCGGATTGTCAATGCCCAATTGGCAATCCTATGGCTAGGAACGTTTTAGGAATGAACATAAGAGAATGGTCTCGATAATCTAACTCACTTAGATCACTTGTCTCTTAGATCAAATACATCCCTTGGATTCCCTTATTGTTTAAACACATGATACAATAAATAGTGATTAACAATAAGCTTTGCCCTTCATTAAACATATAAAAGTTTAATACATTAAGTATTCCAAAAAGCTATTACATCAAATGAGTGGCTTTGTGGGCATACTTCCAACAGAAGGCCGATCTCAAAAATTGAAGAGGCGCTTGCTTTCTCAAAAGCTGGGCTGCTCAGAGACCATGAGGGCCGATCTTAGAAATCGAAGAGGCACCTGCTTTTT